GTAACGAAGTACTTGTACTTCGTTACTTCCCACCACTGCGCCCAGCACACCAACTGTGACAGGCGATCAGTAGGGCAGATGTTTGATAATCTACTATCGCTGTGGTAGATTAGCTACCACAATAATCTACAGAATGTGAAAAGTTCAAAGGGCAGTGCCTTTTTTACAAGGTGCTGTACTTTCACTTTGTTTCAGCAGAAACATGGATTCCATCTTATATGTTCAGGTCGCAGATGTGCTCCGCTTTATTGAACTGCATTCACTGTGATCAGTATTTTCATTATTCTTACCAAAATAATGTTAAAGTTATATTGAACTACGAGGACCACTGAATGCAACAAAGTAATATTGTGGATGAGTATGAATGGTACTGCACTCCTGTCGAACACAAGTATGTCTCCTTTTTTTATTCTTATTCGAGAGTTATATGGACTACAAACACTACACATAATTTAAAAACGAACCAGCAGTCTGGATGGGGAAGAAAAAGCCAACCAGAAAGTCTCGGGCAGGTTGATGCTGACCATGAAATCTGCTTTGTTTTATTTCAGAGGGGCGTTGACTTTTCTGTTTTGTTTTCTTCATTAACCTCAGTGCACTTTATCTGAGAAAAAGAAATTACTGTGATCCTTTCATTTGTTTTCCCTTTTGATCTTTTTTTATTGTTGTGTTCTTGTGTCTTGCCATGTTGGTTTACTCCTCGTGTCAGTCTAGATCTCGTTTGTGTTTTGGATTTACACCGTTAGATTATTATTTCTTAATGTTGCTATTCAGGTTTCTTTTTCCTTTATCCTGTTTTTTTCTTCACCTCAGCCTTCCACGTTTCTTCCCTTCCCAGCTGTTAAATGTCTCCTCATTTATGCCTGCCTTCTCCTTTCCTGAGCTGCATCCGCTCATCTGGTCCCTTTGTCATTTTCACTCCCACCTCAGCATAGTTAGATGGCAGTGTTGTGTAATAATAAACTTATTTGAGCTTCATATCTTGTCATATCAGATCCGGATCAAATAAATACCTGGAGTGTTGCCTTGATTCTTTCATGCATGCTGTTTGAGAAACGCTGGATCTCCCATGACAGTTTCCAAGCCAAGCTCACCCACGGCTCCTTCAGACTAGCCAGGAACAATTAGCAAACATATCAGCTGAGCTCATTATACGAGCTCCTTCTCAGTAAAATGCTGGTAAAAATGCTGTTAAAGGGTTAGTAGAGGAGTGAAGTTGTGACAACTTCCTGATGACAGAGTTTCAGAAAGAGCAGAAGCTTCTTAAAGAGACAGAGCCCCAATTTTAAGGTTTTCAATTATAAAGTCACATTTCTTTTAAGTCTTTGATATATACAACATTTTTATAACAACTGAAGGTTACATAGTTACTTTATTCTGCTATAAGATGATTTTATGTGGCTGGAAAATGCATAATACATGATACTTTATCTCACTGTTCTCTTCTGACTCAGTTTATTTCAATCTCTTTCCGTTATCCTGTTTTGTTTTCTAGTCTAATTTGTCCTAATTTTTTTGTACTTTATTTTTCCATTTAATCATAATTCAACAACAGTCCCATTCTCCTGTCTGTGTTTTGTCCAGCTTCCAGGTTACCCTTCACAACAGAAACAGTTTCTTTCCGTTTCACTTTCTGCTTTACTTAACTCGTTCATTGACCGTTGTTGTCCACAAACACCTTCTGTGATTATGCGATTATTTAAGGCTATAATTGCTTATTTCTTCAAATAATTACAGAAAAAAACATGACTGTACATAAAGCTTACACACAGTCAGTTCATTATTGTCTGTCTAAAGAGGATTTTGCTCCAGTTGAAGTGATCGACCTAAAAAGACCTACTCCGCTTATACAATAGCCTTCATTATGGTTGAATATATAAGCAGTCCTTCATAGATTCCATCTACGCAAAGATTTGAGCATAATGAATAAATCAATATTCCATATCCAAATCCATTAAATCTTTTGAATCTATAAGCTCAGTAACCAGTTCATGGCAGTGGCTTTGAAGACTCTATGATCTGACGAAGCAGGAGGAATGTGGCTGTATGTGAAACAATCCGCTATTTTTCACCTATGGTGATTAAATTAACATACTCTGTTAGAATGGTATTGAAATGCTTTGTCGCGTCTCAACAAATAAATGCTCTGTTGTTATTTATCGTTTACTTGTCTTATCCGCTTTTCAAAGCACTTTCACATCACGAATCACATTCAGAAGTGTGCACGGATCGATAAATAATAAATCACTGCGTTGATGGTCTGCGTTAGCTTCAGCGTCCTTTCCAGGAATTCTTTGAAACCGTTACGTGTAAAAACGTTCACCTACTTGCACATTACAGAAGTACGCAGTAAAGTTAATTTCTTTCACTGGCGAAACTTATAAGAAAGAGAATTTAATTAGTAGATAGAGAAGAAATTAAATGGCACCTATAATGAAATGCAAAGGAAAAGTACATTTAAATAAAAAATGATTTCAGCTGCTTTTTAAAATGGGTCCAGACTCTCAAAGTCGAAGTGCAGCAGTGTGGAAAGAGTAATCCTTGGAGCTTTATACCTAGTCCTGGGGACCTGGAGTAGATTTTGGTTTGAGGACCTGTGAGCTCGAGGTGGAGCATGAGGCTTTAATAATTTAGATTTATACAAAGGAGCTTGACCATGTATGCCATATCTGCCTGAGGTGTGTGTGTGTGTATGTGTGTGTTGTCCTCTCTTGCAGAAAAAGCTGACTGACTCCACTTGCTGCTTGTCTGAGCTCATCAAAAGCTGCTATATGGCAGTGGCAGAGAACCCGGATGATTTCCAGTCTTCTGTCCACTCTATAGTAGTAAACTGGATCCTGTTGTGATTCTCTTTATCACATGTAGTTACTGACCTCTTGAGGCTGCTTTCTGATCCCAGAGTGTTTTGTTTCACTAGCATTCGCTTTGCTTCATCCTTGGTTAGGCTTCCATGTCTGGAACTTAACTCTTCTTCTACATCCTGGATTCTCTTCATCTCCACGCTTCCCCCTCCTAACTTCTACCTGGACAAATTCAAAGTTTACAATTCTAAGCAGTGCAGAAAATCAACATCATCGTTCACCACTTCTCTTTCTGTTTGCTGAAATTCAACCAGAGGAATCCAAGTCAATGGGAGAAAGTCTAGACTGAGCTGTGAAGCAAAATTTGAATTGCGAAGGAAGGTAATGACCAAAGTCCAATTGAGAACCAGTTCTTTTCCTTTTTTAAGCACTCAATTAATCCACTCCTCTTCCTATCAGTCCTCTGGAGAACCTCCTGCCAACAGTATGGTAGCAAATATTCTTAATAAAAAACCTTCCAAGCCATTTGGATGACTTGTTACTTACTAAACCGTTGATGGTTAGTAACCATGCACCTTAGAATAAACAAAAGGCATTTTGTATTCATTGAGGTTCTCTCTGTCTGATATTAAAATCCGTCTTATCTATTAAAAAAAACAAGTTCATTCTGACAAAAGAAAACCAAAAATCTAAACGAGGGGAAATATTTTTAACGTATGATGGGGACACAGACTCAACTTCTGAATAACTCTTCTCTCTAGTTCTGTGGGATTTCAAGCAAAAAAAAAGTTTAATCCTTCGAGCTTTGAAATGGTTTATTCACCTTCCTTTAATCACCTCATTGAAAGGGTTTGAAGGCAAACACATTTCTTTTCCTGGTGAAGCGTTGGTTCACACTGGGTGCAAACATGGAACTCTGCCAAAGCAGATGGCAGCAAGTTACAGTTACACACAACTGTGTAAATTAGGCGGCAAAAGCCCCGTTTTGTTATGGATTATCAAGGAGACTCTGCTGTTGGACTGCTAAACCAGTGACTAGATCTTTTGATTCAACTGCTTAATACTAGAAAAGCTGCAGAATTATAGAAAAAGATATATTTTTCTAGACAGCCTGAGATTCATACATGCAGATCAATCCTCTTTTGGTAAAAAGAAATAAAATCAATTAAAGGGTTCAGTTAAAACATGAGAACATCTATGAAAAATATACAGACAAAATAATAATAATAATAAAAAAATCCTGTTACGAGAAAGATTGGGTAGCTTACACTAAACACTGGATCCAAAATATAACTCATTATTCTCATTCCATTCAAGACACGGATGGCCATTTAGATTTTTGAATTAAAAAAAAATGTTATTAGACTTCACTAAATGTGGTTCACAAGGTAAAATAAACTTTAATAGTATAATTCAAGCAATGGATGGCATAATTTATTTGACATTGTAAAGTTGATGGAGTTTATCATATTTACATGTAGAACTAAAAAGAAAAGAAAATCATTAAAACTTGTTTCGAGCCACAAATGTTAAAAAAACACTTTTGGAAGAACAACTTCACAATTTAATAAAATTTGTGAAAATGTGAAAATCATCATTGTTAAAGAACCACCACTTTATGTCTTCTTTTAGGTTATTAAACTAAGACAAACAAAACTTTTACAAAAAGATTATTTATAAATTGTCTTCTACGGGACGTTGATGTTTGTGGAAAATAATTTAAGGAGAAAAGTACTTAGTTTCCAAATGTACTCGTGCTATTCTGTTGTGGAAATTTAATTTGTGGTGTGCAGATTAGTTAATAAAAATTTTGACGCGTGGTTTTGTAACAACTAAACATCCGCACATCTAGTACAATTAGTGACGTTTTGTTAAGCGCATCTTAAAATTCAAACAGAAAATGGCAGAGGTGAACTCACCTACATTGAGGACGTCATTCAGGTAAGATCCACTACAGTTGGCGCGAGGCTAATTAACACAACGGGAAGTCCAGGTGTGTTCCTCTGCTCTCGGGGCATACTCACGTGCGCCGACTGAAATAAAGTGAAAAGAGGACGTGTGTTTTGTTTTTTCTCTTAAGTGAACGAGAGCTGCTACAATGAAGGTTCCAGAACCAGAACAAATGAGTGACATTCTGAAGCGGCTCACCGGGGAGTCCGCGCTGCCCCTCTACTGCAGCATCGAGAAGTTCAAGCGAAGCAGAGACGGGCTGTACTATGTGGCCGAGGACTTCAGCGAAACCGTGAAGAAGAGAGAGCTGGTCAACGCCAAGGAGCGCCTCAGGGTGGGTAATGCTAAACTACTGTATACTGTGTGAATCTCGGTTGGTGAATTTAAGTCGAATTAAAAAAAAACAACAGAAGTTTGATTATAACAAGTGTATTTCTTTCATGGACACCCAACGACAATATAAAGTTCACTTTATCAGAAAGCTTCAGTTAGGAGCTATTTTTACTAAAGTTATGAACATGTTGCAGCTTATCCTCCACAACTATGGGGAAGACTGCTGACTTTCTATTACTGGAATATTTTATGGAAAGAGAAGTGGTGGGAAGAAATGCACACAAGATTGTGTAATAGAGGCAATTAAAACATTTTTGGACTTGGAGCTGACGACGATATTCAAATTTGTTGAGCTGTACCTCTGACTTGTAGCATATACATCACAGAGAAACATGAGTTGAGAATATTATTTTAAATAGTTCTAATAACCCAAGTGATGCTCGCTATTGGCTACACTGTGCTCTCAGAAGTTTCTGAACTGAAGATTAAATCCAGCTAAGTTTAAAATGGAATTATTCCTGACATTATTTGAAAGTAATATTTGCATAGATTAGAGGTACACCTAATGATTATGGATTAATCTAACAATTTTTTTAGTTTAATCCAATGTAAGTGTAGCACGAATTAAAAATATTTTCACCAAAGTAATACAAAATTTTAATATTGCAATGCTATTTTTTCTTTAAAGCATCGTATGGAGCACAACTCTGTAACAAAAATACTTGAAATGTGAACAGATTTACAGTATGACATGAAATCTCAATTAAAAGTATGTTAAAGGAAATAAAGTCCAGCACATTCAACAAATTAAATGAAGCCATGTTACATTCTTCAAACACTTTTTGAAACAATACTTAAACAAATCTTAATGACAAGACATCTTTTTTTAGTTGAAACTACAACATTGTTTAAAAGTAGTATAAGTGCAGATGTAGCCTTTCATAACTAAACTACTCAAACACAATAACTTCTCGAACACACAAACCCACTTAAACATTGGAGTGGAGGAATGTCAGCATTTCTGCATGCTTTGCTGTCAGACTTACTGGGAGGATTTTTTGTATCAATGATCCCTGCACCTGAAAGAGGCTCTCAGATGGAGTTGATGTTTCAGGGATTGATTGATGGATGGATGATTTATCAGGTTCAGTGATGGTGGGGAACCTTCTTCATGTTGTTTTCACCACTGGAACCGGATCTCGTCTGCAGCAGTAGCAATCATTGTTCATTCCACAGTTTAAAAGTTCCTTTTATGAGTGAATATATGTAAACCTCTGAAAAGCACATTTTTGGAATGTCTTTTTGAGACTTAAAAAAATAAGTTGGCATCAAACTTAACGCAGTTTAATTTGATCATTTACTTCTGCCCTATTTACAATGACCTGCTCTGTAGCTATTTTGAAGTTATGAAACTGAAAAATGTTGCTGCTTCTCATCCAGCAGGAATATTCAGAGTTGCCATTATTCTTGCCATGCTGCCTCTTGTCATGACATTGTCCTCTTTGTTTCCGTGCAGATCAGGAACCTGAATGCCATGTTCTCCCGTTTGAAGCGCATGGTTCCACTGATGCGGCCTGACCGCAAGCCGAGCAAAGTGGACACACTCAAAGCTGCCACTGAATACATCCGCCTGCTGCTTGCTGTTTTGCGCGATACTGAAAATGTGGGTATTTGATTCACAGATTTAATACAACACACATCTGTTGTCTCCAAGGACGGTACTGTGATTGGTTTTGAAATGGTTTCTTCTTTTTTTTTTTTTTTTCCCTAGAATGATGGCATGGGGACTGATTTCCTAAAGAATGCAATCACTTACAGTCAGACTGAAGGCATGGGCAGTGACTTATGGAGAATGGATGATGTGAGTGTTTTGTTTTTATTTTGCACTCCTACCAGGTAGTTTAAAGTCGGCTTAAACTTTAACACTACAAACCATTTGTAGCTGCTTGTTACTGCAATATTTGCCTTGTTATAGATGGAGAAAAAAATTGGAATGATACTTTGTTTAAACATTTTAGCAATCTGCTGCAAATAAATATTTAGTCTGATTCTCTACTGTTAAAACCCTAACCTATCCATCTTTGACATTTTGAACTCTGAACAAGTAAAAAAATACTTCAGTTTTTTAATTTTCTTTTGTAATAATATTGAGACAAATTGTTCTGCGTTGCAAAGTACACATTAAGCTCAGAATAAGCCAGAAAGTGGACATGCGTTTTGTATTCACTCAACTACTCCACCCACAACCCACAACTTTGGAGAAAAAGAACTAGCAGTCATTTGTGATTTCTTTAGGATGTTTTGAGAAGTTTGAGGCTTACATAAAAAAATAATAAAAATTAAAAAAATTATCTCAGGGTATCTAGCAGACCTCATTAATGGTGGCTGTGCTTTGCTAGCACTGGTGGATCTCCTAAAACCTCCTGGAGCTGTAAAATAATTGAGGAAGTTAAAATGCAGTTCTCCATGTGAAACTTTCCTCTGCTAATCGTTGCATTGTGACTCTCTGATGTAGCTTCACAAAGCTATTCATAGCTACAGCTATCAACTACAAGTTGTTCAGGACATCATTGTTTGATGTAAAGCCAAGCTGAGTGGACATTGTCTTTCTAACACAGTTTTCAAATCCCCAGTCAACTCGGTGTCAATGCTCACTAATCAGGTTGCTGCTTCATTGACCTGCCAAGGTGACAGGAAGTCAGGAAGCAGTTTGAAACTTTGTCACTTGAGCTGTTTAGTGCAGGCAGACTGAATGGCTACCTGCACTACACAGGCAGCATTATTTACGTCACCTGTTTGCAATGCAATTATGTTTACTTTTACCCCAATTTATTACAATCAAAATAACACAAATGGATTTGACTTTTTAAACGGCAAAACAACCAAAAGTATCAAATATGCACAGTATTAGGAAAAAACAGCAGAAGTACTCTGCTTAAAAAAACAACAACAACAACAAAAAAAACAGATTAGCTGGCAAAGTGTTTTTATCATAAATTATTTTGTCTGCTCACTGGGAGGACTGTCTAAAGACGACCAAAAAGGTTTTCTCATTTAGACCTAAACCTATACCCAAAGCATAGATCACATTTTTACTAAGAAAAAAAATTATACATGTAGTTCACACTTTATCCATCTCTAACTAATTGACGTATGTATGTAAGCTTTTGTTTTTTTCTGTGGCATTTTAGTTTAGCTGTCCTTTTTTTATTTGCTTAGGAGTTTTGTGTGACTGTTGGATGGTTTACAAAATGTTTGATCTTCAGCTTCAACTTCAGCTGCATTTTGCACGAAAATCTCTCTATAAAGTCCTATTTTTAATACTGATTGAATTGTCCACACCAAACTGACTCATGATGTATATTAGCAGAAAAATGGCCTAGTCAAAGCCTAGATCTCAATCCCCATTAGATGCTATGCTTGTCTTTAAAGGCATACTTCATTTTTTTTCCCAATTGAGAGACATTGCCAACTTTTAGAGCAGAAAGAAGTCCTACCTTTAATGTTTTTATTTTGGGGTTTTCCCTCTGAAAGCTGCTGAACATAGACGACCACCTGGAAGATGGCTTCACTTTGCCTCCAGAAGCGGCGCCAGAGGATGGTGAAATGCCCAGGCTGGTGTTGCAACACTGTGTGATGCCTGCATACCAGCTCATCATCCAAGTTGCTCCTGATCAAGCGCCGGTATTTATTCAGTTTTACAAATATTATTTTTCCTCATTCATTGTATTCTGAACTGAAAAACCAGGAGATTCTCCTTTCGGTAAGATTGAGTTAATTTTCTATTGCTTGTAAAATGTTTCACATTTAAAAGGGGGGAAAAAAAGAGAAAGAAATGAAAAAGATTGATTCCTCGTCAACCTATACAACTAATTCAAAGCAATGGCCACAAATGTCAAAGCTGAATTATTTTCTGCATGTTCTAAATGAAAATAAGTTCACATAACTTTTATTCAATGCTTGGGGTCTGTGAATAATCCTCTGGGATAAAGTAATGTACGTCAGCAAAATCACACCTGGACAATTAGCACTGTGCCATGTCTTCTGAATAATCTTGGATCTCATGATGTCTAGTTCTGTTAGAATTACCTCTAAAATATCTGCTTTGTTTGCATAAAACATGGCAGACTTTGAGTTTCAATCTCTTTTTCATATAATCAGTGTTTGTCATAAAAACAGAGACTATAAATGTCTCTGTGCTAAAGACTGATGTGGCTCATCCTAACGACTCTAATGTGTTGGTTATGGTGCCGTAGTCTTTTTTTCCCCTGAATCAAAGAAGCTGCTTCCTCTCAGCGTCAGGAAGAGGAGGGAGTTTATTCTCCCCGTATCAACTCGTTTAGGGAATCTGAAATGAAAGAGTTATAAAATCTTCTGCAAAGCATTTTAGTAAAGAAAAACAAACTAATAAATATAAAAATGCTATGATTGCATTACAAAACTGTAAAAGTTTAAAACTTTTTTTCCCCTCCTTTGTTTTCTCCTCTCAGGAGTGTTAGCCAGTGTGTGACCGTTTTATTTGGCCAAGTTTAAAAAAGAAAAAAAATCTTAATTTTTTTTTCGTGCTTACAAGACATATTTGTCATGCACATTATTGGAGAAAACGAATACGGGTTTTTATAAAAAAAAGTTTGTCATTCAAAATTTAGTTAACAAATTTCAAAGTTTAGAGCAACAACAAACGTCAGGAGGTTTAACGCTACTCGTATTTGTACAGAAAATATCCAGTACTGTTCAACACACATGCCAAATGGTGTTTTTCCTTTTTTTTTTTTTTTTACCTTCCTCTGTATTTTAAGTCGTTTGTTTTTTACTAATATTCTGTCCAGTCATCATTCCAGCTCAGAAGGCATATTGAAGAAATTAACAGGCAAGTGGAGGACAAAAGTGTCCAGAATGACCTCAGTCTGTCCTCTGCCTTTGAGTTTCAGCAGTGGTTTGTGTCTGAAGAGGAAAAACTTAAAACTTGGGGGGAAAAAAATACAGCAAAGCTTGACTTTAGGGAAAAACTGGTTTCTAAAGTGGAGAGCTCTACATGGCCACTTCCCCCTCAGGTCATCCTCCTCTCTGTACCCTCTGCGCCGTGGGGAGCACAACTTTCCCAAGACTGGAGTTTACTCCAACCACATAATAAAGATGCTGATTCAGAGTCAAAAACTACCTGTTTAAAATATTACACTGTATGTAATTGGTCAGTTTTATTCAGAATAACTTTAGGTCTTTATTGCTTTGTTTATAAAAGGCTTTAAATAAAACTTTAAATGCATTTAAAGTTTAACAGATGGGAATCTGAGATTTTAGATGATCAGTAATAAAACAATATCAGCACATTTGTGTTTGTACATTTCTTTTTTAGATCTCCGTTAGTAAAACATTTTTTTAGTCTTATTTTATTCTGAAAGAAAACACATTTGAGGCTGAGAAGTTTAAAACTTAAGTCACGTTTACACTGCAGTGAAAAGAATAGTTCACTTTGTTTTTTTCTTAGTCAATCAACATAAATCTATTTTGTCACTCAAGTTGTTTGCAGTCCATCTTCACATATGTCCTTAAATCTGATACAAATCACATCCTCCTTTTCATTTTTTTGTTTTTTTATTAGGTTTATTTCAATAAAGCTACTGTTTCATCTCACTATCACATTGAACTAGTTAGTTTTGTGTTGTAGGAAGCCAAAAGTGTCGATGTCTACTATATGTAATGGACATGGCTCATGTGGCATACCCAGATAATGAGTCTAGTTATAATTTTATTGGCTCAACATGCATTAAAAACATGTTGAATCTGTGTTTACATGTTTACTTTTGTAAACACAATGTGCTGCCTGTTGTCTAATGGCGACTGCATTTAAGTTAATATGTAAACAAATGCAGACGTTACGACTTGACCCAAAGAGATTAGTTTGATTTAGTGATGTTCAAGTCTCCAAGTACAGACTTGAATATGTCTACGAGTTTGCTGTGATAGTATAATGTAAGACAGATAATCTGTGAAAAGATCAAACTCCTCCCTGTGTTCCTGCAGAAATGTTTTACTTCCAGTCAGAACCACAAGGAGGGTCTTAGCGCTGTCAATCATACTTGTAGAAGCGCTGCTAAATGTCTTAATGGAAGGGAAACAACTTGCCGTTCCAGGAAAAACGGTTTATTTACCATCAAATGTGGCCATCAAATGTTATTTACCATCAAATGTGGCCATGCTAACTAGCCTTAGCATTCATTGCAGACTCTGTTGTAGGGAACTCGTTGTAGGAGAGCAGAGAGCAAAAGGGAGGGTGTGAGCAGCACGTACACAAGCAGGTTTGACGGTGCCACGACCCTCCTTCTGCCTGTGATTAGTTGTTTTTGACAGTCGTGTATTTCTGCCAATGACGGTAGGACCACCAGGAGAGGCAGATCACCACATGGTGACAATTTTAACAAATATGTAAGACATCTATTTTATTTATTTTTTAAATAAAAGTTGCATACTGCAGCTTTAAACTCGTCAAACACAATCCTAAACTCGTAGCTTTCATCTGTAAATGTCTCTGCTGTTTCTCACTTGGAATATAAGGTTGGATTCGTCCTCGACACCTAATTTTCTCCCTTGAAAGGCTGAATTGTTCTTGTTCAGCAGGTCTTGCAGCTCACTGCAGATGTAAGGCTTATTTAGGAAGCATATCACATTGTCTGACAGACGAATCTTGAAGGAAAATTAGATGCGTTTGACAAAGGGATCCTCTGGGCATTTGTTTCTTTAGTTTTCCTCCAATAACACATTTACACCACTGGAGTTTGTCAAACTACAAAAGCAATTAAAGAATGTTTGTGAAACTGTCTAATTTTTCAGTTTGTAACAAATATTTCTGAAAACAAATTGAATAAATTTATGATTTAGTATTAATCAGAAATTATCTAAACACAACCGTGTGAAGGCAAAAAAACCGTGCAGTCTTCCAAACAAAGATGAGCAGCCTTCGTTTACGATTCTCCAGAGATTAACTCTGCCAACAATGGGCAATCACATATGTTTGATTCCAAAAGTGATCTGGCAGAAATGCACTACAATTATGACTGGCAATCGGCACAAAGCGTTTGATTGTCTGACATCTGAAAAACAGTCGCACTATCTTCACAAGTGCTTCATCGTCTGATTGGATAATTTAAGGTGAAGAGGTTTGTATCAAACCATGATTTTTTTTTTTACCCCTACAGAGGACAAACTTGTACCATTGTTCTGTTAACAGAATTGATCTTGCACCCAGATTTTTAGGTTTTAATGCAAGTTTGTGTTTTTCACCAGACAACAAAATGGCACATCGACATAAGAGCCTTGATTCGGATGAGGAAGTTTCAGCTTCAAATATTAATTATTGAAAGTGATTTTTATTTGGTTTTCTTTGTGTGTTATCTTCTAAGAAATGTGTAAACTTGATCTCTTTTTCTGTCTGCTTTATTTAACAGATGTCTCAGCCTTGATGGGCACTTTGATCAGATTGGTTGAACCGGCAGTAAAACATCTGACAGGTTGGAATTTTCTCCTATCTTTAATATATATGTTATTATTCTATCAGTCTCATCAATATATAGATTTGAACTTGATCAATAGTGACTGAAATTCCAAATTTTAGCTTATAAAAACATTTTGAGATTGCAAATATGTGAAAGCCCACACTTTTAAGCAATTGTTTTAAAATCTGGGATTAAGTTAATTTTTACTGCAAAACCAGAACACCTTAAGATTTTTTATAATGTGCTCTTATAAAAAATAGTGATTTAAACAAAACTTTTTGAAGATTTTTGGCATTTGTTTAAACATTAAGAAAAAAAACAGTTTAATAGATCTAGCACAGACTGTGTTACTCTTGTATGTGGTCAAAAACATATTGGATAAACAAACTTCTTCCACTTTTCTTTTCCCTAGAAATCTGCATATTCTTTCCTAAAATATTAGTACCACAGTAGCTCTTTTTCTACTGAATTTAAATGCGTTCCTCTGCTGCCCTCTTGTGGCGGTGAACTTTAACTGCTGCCACAGACTAGCGTGAGTGGAATCGCAAATGACAAAATTACTTCCCATTCTTTAAATGTTTCTGATGAGCCTTGTCTGATTAGAACTAATATTCTAATTTATTATCATCACATTTTAATTAAATCACCTTTAATCAATCAAATAAGACAATTGCTAGTTCTCATTTACAATGTTTATTTTTATTGAGGAAAGCATTAAAAATATATATTTTATGATGTATGACTCAGTGTTGGCCGGTCTTTTAAAATCCCTTTAAAATGTGGACATTTGTGATTTCGGCGTTAAACACTTTGCTATTTTTAGCAAAGCTTTCCTGAATCTCAAGAAAATAAACATATTCTAAGGTAGTCACTATAACTAAACTGATTGGATAGAAATCTAATATCTCTGTTGTTTTCAGGAGCTGCTGTGAAGAAATCATTGAGAAGAAACCTTTTTTTCTTTGGTTTTATTTAATTTTTTTGTTCAAATCTAAATTTCATTGTAAATGTAACTTTTGTTTTCTGTTTGAGCCCACTGGATGGAGAACATTTACGTTGTAGTAAAGGTCAAAAAATAATGTTTTACTTCCTGGATGAGCCATTGCCTTCATTGGTCTAAACTGAATAAGTAAAGATGAGAACAAGAATTGCCACAGGAATTGTAAAATGATCAAAACCTAAATTACTGTGCATGACATACTGCATTATATAACACTTAGACAGTCATTTCAGTGGAATAATATATTTACAAAAAAAAAATCTGAGTGCAATGACTACATTACAGTGAGGCTGGTTGTCATTAAAACTGTGACGTAGTTGACCTCTGATACTTCATGAGTTCAGCTCACTTTCTTACACTTTGACCTGAACACTGCTGTTTTTTTATGACAAACTTAGAATGAGTGCAGCTTCCACTAACACTTAACCATGCTCCAGTTTGGGATGAATGAAAGACATACCCTGTATTTTTCTGGGACAAACTCGGGACATTTTGTGTGTAAAAGAGCTGCAACAACATTTTCGTTGAAGACGAGCTCAGCATGGCTGCTCAGTGTGTGAAGGCAGCAGAGAAAAGCCTTTTCTATTGAGCTCAAAATTGAGCTCGGTTGTATCCTGTTTCCAGTTATAATCTTTAAGGTCTCTCTCCACTTGACAAGTTAAATTGAATGTACAGGATTTGGAAAACCAGGAACCTGTCTATATAAACAAAAACAAAACATTAAACCAAATGAACTCTGTAGACTTATAAGGCAGAATTGTCTTAAGGCACAAATCTTAAAAACAGGCAACGAGAATCTTTTAAACAGTGTTACTGTTTTTAAATTGTTTTAATCTGTTTTATAATTGTGTATATGTAGTATTAATCAATTTTGTTTTGTAACCAGGTTGCTATGTACTGCAGACTTCTGCCCAGGTCCCCCTTGAAAATGAGATCTAGATCTCAATGGGGTTTACCTGGTTAAATAAAGGAAATAAAAAAAAAAAATAAAAATAATAAATAAAAATCTGGGGAAGGGTGCAAAAAAAATCAGCTTTGAATGCCCCGGTGAGCATGATGGCCTCCATCTTCTGTAAGTGGAAGTTGTTTGGTACCCTCAGAACTCTTCCTGGACATGGGCTTCCATCTGCGAAGGGGGAGAAAGGTCTTTGTGAGTGAGAAAACCTGAACTCTCTGGGGAGAAGATCCTTCCAGAAGGACTAACATCTGTGCAGCACCTCCCCAATCAGACCTGCAGAGGGACCAGTCAAAGCCACTCCTTAGATACAGGCACATAGTAACCTGGCTAGCTTGACAGAACACACCTTAAATGGGTAGCATTGTTTTCCACTCACATAGTGCCATTTTATGGCACAATCTGTTAACTCTTACCTTCAGCTGTTAATAATATGCTGAATATGAAATATGACAAAGAAAATTAACTTTGTATTTTACTACCTCTAAATTGACGTGTTTAAAAACTCCTGCTCTTTCTGAAACTCCACCTTCAGGAAGTTATTACAACATGGCTCCTCTGTTAACCCTTTAAAGTTTTGCATTGTACTGAGAAAAAGGGGGAGGAGCTTTGTGGAAATGGGCGGGACTTTGTGAGAGCAAGCATTTAGACATCCCTGAATGGTTGAGGGTTTCTCAAACATGCATGAAAGATTCAAAGCAAGACTCCAAGTATACTTTAATGAGAGAATAACATTCTAGCTATTATAAGTGTTATAAAGCATTAAAAAAAGGTTAATTTTACATGACACCACTTCCCAGCTTTAATTATGATTTTTCACTCAGCTGAGGCTGAGGTAATATTTTCATACCACAGCCCTGCTTTTATTTTGCACTCAGCTATTGAAAACATAACATGATTAGAGTATTACATTTGAGGGGCTGGGGGGAGGTAGCTTTGTGAAAAGTATATTTGCAATTTCTTTCCCCCAATTTATATACATTTCGTCTTTGTAACAGAAGATGGCGCCTGTTTGACGCTAAAACAGTCTATTGTTGATCGATGATGTGGTTCTGAGCAGCTTCACGTTTTAGAAGGCAGCGCCATAAATCCAGCAGGATTGTGCGTGGGCCACAGCTTTATCACACAATAATGAAGCACGGTGCCAAGCTTCCCTCCGCAGCGGACTGACTGGCTGGCTCGGTGCGTTTGGGTGTCAGACAAGAAAGGCGTGGCAGTGGGACGGTCCAGGCGCACCGAGCGGTGGAAAGAAAAAAAAAAAAAAAACACACACCAAGGTCTAATGACCTGGGATCAGCTGAGGCCCCGGAGCTTCCTCATATAGGAGCGCTGCTGAAACATATTGGCTATATTACTGACTAAATCTGCGCCTCTCAGAGCCACCTTTAGGCCGTGGGTGTGCCTCACATCGGACGCTATCGTGAGGTGAGTTGACGCTGCTGGTTTTTTTTTGTTTGTTTTACATTAAAGATGAAAGGACTGGGCGTTGTACTCCATCCTGTTAGCTTTATACAGAACATGTCTGAGGAGATGCAGTCCTCCTCTGTTCACTGGGTCCCGCTCTCCTTTTCTCTTCCAATAGCTGCACTAAAATAGAAACCATGACAAAAGAGAACGCCGTCTTCTCGCGCGCATTGGTTTATGTCGCGCGACTTTCTATTGACTTTAAAATGTGTTTTGAACTACACCATAAATGGTGGGGAAATTATTAGGTGTGATGCTGTGGCCGCCTACAGATTAGCACAGTAAACACGGTGCTGCTGGTTTCTGTGGCCCAGCAGCCTTTGCGACTCGATGCGGAGCCTTTTAGCTGACAGAAAGAGGCTTTTGCGTTTAGCTTAGGTTTGTAGAGTATCGAGCTGCTGCTGCTCGCCTCTGCCTGCCCTCAGGCTGGGAGCCATTATTCACTGGTCCTGTTGGTGCTGATGCTGCAGCGCTCGCGAGTGTTGCTAGGCAGCCATGCTGCGCGCGGGCCGCTGTCGTGATGTGGACAGGAGGAAGAGAAACAACAGTACTGTAACACTCGGGTTGCAGAGCCTGGGCGCACTAAACAAAGCGCAGAGCTGATCACATCCTGGATTTCCTTTTGTTTTATTAGCCTTTTACTCGCGATATCAAGATAGACTTTGCGATCTTTGACTTTACTTCGCAACACAGCCACCGTAGTTTGTATTTGACATAACAAGCCAGGGTATATCAGAAATTAAATGTTATGACTCCAAAAGAACTGGAAGAACATAACATGATGTTCCATACAGCTAAGTGAAGCTGTGTTACACTAAAACTGGTCGTTTGTGACAGTCAAATTCTGTAACTATCTCCTGTCACTAAGAAGAAAACTATTTTTTATTGACTCATCCACTTCACTATGGGTTCCACTTCATTTGATTTCTGTAATGTCTCTTTTCATTTTAAGTCTGTTTATATATCGCACTGTTTGGTTGACTTTTTCACATTTGGTACTGGAAGTTTCATCAGTCCCCCCACATCAAAAATACATTCTGTATTTAATACGTGTACTTCACTTCAGCCTGCTTGAAACTTCACAACCTGAAAATGCAGCTTAGTGATACAAAATACACTTTATGTGACTGATGACCTTTAGAAGCATTATACAAATGGGAATGCTTTTCAAGAGCAGTATTTATGTTTGGGGGTCTACGATTGCTGTGGCTCACAGTTGTACAGTTATGCAAATAAAGTAATGAATATTTGTTATTGTCACTTTTATTATCACAATAGTGATAAATGGTGATGAAACTTGATGTCCATGTTCTCCATCTCTAATACTGGATGTCTGGGAGCTCCATAGAAACAAAGATTTAGAATAAATACTAAATTTCTTAATAGTTTTCAAACACTTATTCAACAAATTATAAGAGCTTTTCTGCTCTTAATAGAAAACTGAAATATCACAAGCTGGTTTGTTACTGATTAATCAGTTAATCTTTCTAGTCAAGACTGAGAGAGCCTGCATAACAGGTATATGTGGCGTATGGCTTGCTAATTGTATTTTTTAAACGTGGATATCTGAAGTTTTTGACATGACTGTCAAAAAAGGCTGGCAGTGATTACAAGGAAGTGGGGGGAGGGCAACTCTGGTGTCTCATTAACAAGAGTTCAAACTGAAGGAACGCTATGCTAGCAAATTTCATACACTAGATTATGATAGCAATAACTAAGCCATACATGTTTGCATCGCATTTAGAATTAGGGTAATATTTCTTGTCTTTTTTAAAAGTGTGTAGCAACCTGTGCTGATATGCACGGAGCCTGGCTGTGTGAATCCCTGCAGCTTCCTGCCAGTCAAACAGATGAAGACAGACCCCAGAGGACAGTCAGCGGGGAGCCGTGACCTTCTGTCAGCTGTAGCTTAGTGAGCAATGCGTTCTGACTGGCAGCCGGAACCGGGGCCAGGCTGCTACAAGATGATCATCTCTGCAAGGGGAATCTTTCCCTCTCGGAGACTGTGTGTGTGTGTGAGGCAGAGCAGATCTACTACTAACACGATGCATTTGAGCCACTTCGATTGACTCCAGCGCCAGATCTCTGGAGTCAGAACTGTGAAGAAATCTGATGCCTCTGGTTTTCTCAGAAGTTTCGTTTTTGGATCTAAAATCATTGACTACATCTTGTCTTAGCCAAGATGTAGTCAATTATTACTCCCACTGACCTCCTTAAGACTGAGTTTCAACTTAAAAAAAAAAATGGTTTAAAGTTTACATTCATTCATTGAGGGAGTGAACAATGATTCTTAAAACTGAAATTGATTGCATAAGTTTAAATTTATCATGTATTGTACTAAGTCAAATTTTATATCTCTACAAGTTGTCAAAAACATGTCTGGAGTGTTGCCTTGATTCTTTCATGCATGTTTAAGAGATCCTTTAATCTCCCATGGCAACCACTCAGCTGTGGAAAACTCCTGAGTGGATCTAGCTCCGCCTTTGAGATGCAAATCCTCCTCTAAGCTGCAGGTTCCAAGCTTCTGAGCTTCCACCTCACAGAGCAGCCCTCCTCTGCAACTCCCCCCATTCAGCTCCTCCAGACTACCCAGCAGCAATTGGCAAACACTTGGTGGAACTGTATCTGCTGAGCTCATTATAGTAGCTACTTCTCAGTTAAACCCTGGTAAAAACATTGTTAAAGGGTTAATAGAGGAGCCATGTTGTTGACTTCCTGAAGGTGGAGTTTCAGAAAGAGCAGGAGCTTCTTAAAGAGGCAGAGCCCCAACATCAAGGCATTAAGTTATGAAGTCAAATTTCTTTTAACACATATTTAATATATACAGTATTTTCATAACAACTGAAGGTAACATGGTTATAAAACAGTAATATGCATCTGGAAAACAGAATTCTGCCTCTTC